GGTGCAGGGGGTGCCAGGGGGTGCAGGCTGGGCTGGAGCAGGGAATCACAGTGGTGTGAGGCTGCCAAGGCTGCCAAGAGCAGGGTTTGGGCTCTGCCAGTGTCTTTGGCCATTCCTCACCTGTGCTTTCCGCAGTGGGCGCTGCTGGTGTGCAGCTCTGCCTTTGCTCTCAAGTCTCTCCCATGCAGGTTTCCCCCTCTGTCCTTCCCACCTATGGTTTTTGACACTCTCAGCACTGAACCTGAAACATAAGGGCTGTGAAGTTAAGATGAGGGTGTGAAGTTTGTCACTCTGTCACCCTTCCCTCTTGTCCCAGGCATGCCAGCCCCACACCAGAGCTTGCCTGTGCAGGAGGGGTGGCCGTGGGACCATGGTGGGACACAGTGCAGTGGCATGAGGCCAGCAGCATGTGCCAGGCTGGTGGTGGTCTCAGAGCACGCTGGGCAGAGGTGTGAGCATGGCAGGAAGTCACACTGGCTGGAGGGGGGGACACAGGACATGCTCCCACACACCCACTCGTCACCGCTGTCGCCGCACAGCAGTGCTGGCTGTGGGGCTGAGCCCTGCGGGGCATCCACAGGGGGTCTGGTGGCACTGCTGGGGACAGGGAGGCTGTGCCATGATGGGGCACAACAGCCCTCTGAGACACTCGTTGTCCTTTCTCCTCTGGCAGTTCCATCCAGAGGACGCAGTGAGGACGTGTCCCACCTGCCTGGCACTGCTGGCCATGACCCCGCTGCTGTGACTGCAGGTAAAGCTCCAGGGAGCTGGCACTGCAGCTGGAATGGGATGGAGTCCAGGGCCCCTGTGCTCAGCTCTGTGTCTGTGCCAGGGAGGGCAGTGGGACGCTCCTGCTCTTGGGACACAAGATCAGCAGCCACACTTGATAAGGAGGGAGAATGAGGCACAGGGCTACACGGTGGTTCTGGGGTCACTCTGGGCTCATCCACCACCCTGCCAGCAGTCTGGGGGTCAGGGGGGCCATACCAGCCACCTGCAGGGACGCCAGATCCCTCCTCCTGAGGCCTCAGTCAGCACACTGCTGTTTGTTCCAAAAGACTCCAAAATTACTAATTTTTTAAGTTGGGCTTTTTTTGACCACCCAAACAAGCTGGAAAGGTGTGAGCCATAAAGGCCACAAGGAGGGGAGAGGGAAGCCTGGTAGAGGGAATCCTGCTTGTCCCCAGCCTCTCTGGGTGCTGTGGGGCAGGACCAGTACTGCAGCAGCAGGGGCTGTGCTGGGAGGCTCTGGGCATTGCCAGCAGATGGGAGGACACCTCTGCTCCTTGTCCCCAAGCTGGGGCTTGCCCTGGAGGGAGGCACAGTGTGTGGGACTGGGTCCTGGCATCTTTGTTCCCCACCTGACCGTGTTGTGAGTGAGCCAATGCCCATCTCCTGTGTGTGGTGAATGGATGGAATACTCAGCTGGGGAATGGGGGGGGCTGAACCCCTGTTTCTGGTCCACCTCTGAGCCTCCCCCCGAGGAGATGGGCTGTGGGGAGCAGGGGAGAAAAACAGCTTCTCCCAGGTTACTTTCCAAAGCTGTGCTTATAGGAGGAAAAAGGGGAACAAGGTGAGGGTGAAGGGGAAGCAGGGACTGTAGGTGGTCAGGCAGGAGACAGGAGCTGGGCTCCAGGGGCTCCCAGCTCAGCAGGGGCTGCACACAGCTCACCCATCAGCTCCCAGACTGCAGTCAGGTGCTGGTCACAGCCCACAGCTCCAGCCACGTGGCTCTGGGGGTGCTGGGCCCACCTGGGGGTCACAGTTCTGAGTACAGCATGGAAATGGGCCAGGGAAATTTCCAGTCCCTAAAGGCAGGGCAGCAGTGGGATGCAGGGCTCTCATGAGCCCTTTCCTGCACTGCCCTTCCCTGGAGAGGCTCAGGGGAGCTTTGTTGATGGCTGGGGGAGGATTTAACCCCTCTGCCTGCTGGCTGGAGGCAGCCCTTCAAGACTGGCCACTGACAAGTGCTGCTCAGAGGGGAGGAAGGGGAGTTGAGCTCCATCCCTGCACTCCTGCAGGCTCCGTGGACACACAGGGGAAGGATGACTTTGGGGCTACTCCGTGCTCTTGGCAGCACTGTGGCTTTTCAGGGCCAGGCCCTAGCCACAGCTTTTTAGGGACTGGTCTCCCGTGACCAGCCCTCGCACGCCGCCAAGTCAGCACATCCCCGGCACGGAGAGGCTGCGGTGGGGCAGGAGGAAACGGCCCACACAGGCTCACATGCACAGAGCCCGAGGGGAGGAGCTCCTGCGGGGTGTCACAGCTGCCCCGCTCCTCCCTGGGGCTCCGAGCTCCCCCCGTTTCTCTCTGTCTCCAGCCCTCTGTCCATCTTGCATATCCTGGGGGCCTCTTCAGCAGGAGAAGGAGCCATCCGGGTGGTGGCTTGGTCTGCAGGTTGGTGTGGAAGAGGTCACATCACAAACAACCCACACTGACCTGCCCTCACACCTCTGTGGCTGCTTCCCCTCGCTGTGGGGGTCCCCAGCACCCCCTGTGTGCCCTTGGGGCGAGGGGCAGAGTGCACTGAGTGAGGTCCAGCAGGTTTTGGGCTGAACAAACACCGTGTCAGCATTGTCTTACCCACAGCCAGCCTGTAAGCACAGCACGGGGGACAACAGGGGTTGACATGGCCAGTGTCATCCTGGAGAGCATCTTCCTGAAGCGCTCGCAGCAGAAGAAGAAAACATCTCCCCTCAATTTCAAGAAGCGCCTGTTCCTGCTGACGGAGAGCAAGCTGTCCTACTACGAGTATGACTTTGAGCGGGGGGTGAGTCTGCAGCCAGAGGGGCTGGGCCAGTGTCCAGGGGTCACAGCTGTCCCTTGCCAGCACATAGCCCAGGGGGTGGTTGGACAGGGAGAGGGGCTGGTTTGAGTCTCTCCAGGTCTCCACTTGGTGGCTGTTTGAACCAAGGCTGTCTCTTGCAGCGCCGGGGCAGCAAGAAGGGCTCTGTGGACATTGAGAAGATCACCTGTGTGGAGACAGTGGCACCTGAAAACAACCCTCCCCCTGAGCGACAGGTCCCGGTGAGGAGGGTCCCTGGGGTGGTGGCAGTGGGGGACAGCCCTGCTTGGTGTGGGGGGCTCTGTCCACACCATACCAGGGGTATAGCTTGATGCAGAGCAAGGGGATGCCAAAAGCTGTGGGCCTGCTTCAGAGGAGATGCCAGCATCCATCTCTGCCTCTCTCTTCCAGAGGAAAGGGGAGGATTACAACAACATGGAGCAGATCTCAATCATCGAACGGTTCCCCTACCCCTTCCAGGTGAGTTTTCACTGCGCCCTCTTTGCTGCTCCACTCTGCCTGGGGGCAGGTCCTGAGGGGAGGACCCCACAGGGGCCTGGGGTCAGACATGGCATCACTGCCCTGGTGCCAGGTGTCACTCAGCTGCTTGGAGACACTCTGCTGCTGTCCACACTGCTGGGACAGCCAGGTGAGCCTCTCTGAGCCCCGAGCCAGCTCTGTTTAAGATGGAAACCTGCTTCTGAGCTCTGAGCTGCCCCTTTCAATCCCCTTGCTGATGCTGGAGGGATGCTGGCTGCACACTCAGCCCCCAGCCCAGCTGCCTGCCCTGCTGGCACCCAGGCACACCGAAAGTCAGAGAAGGAAGTGGAAAGTCTCGGGGGAGGGGGCTTATTTTTAACCTCTTTGTCACGGTCCCGCGAGCACCGTGCGGGGCCAGCAGACACCGGCGGGGCTGGTTCGGGGTGGCCACAAGGCTCGGCTCCGCCCGTGCCTGCCTGAGAGCCCTGCCCGCGGCGCTGAGCTGAATGTTCCTGCAGGTGGTCTATGACGAGGGGCCCCTGTACATCTTCTCCCCGACCGAGGAGCTGCGCAAGCGCTGGATCCATCAGCTGAAGAGCGGTGAGTGCGGGGGCTCTGCAGCTCGCTGGGGAACCAGCAAGGCACAGCTGTGCCTGTTCCTGGCCCTCAGTGCAGCCTCCCAGGGCTGCCTGGCTCATGGGTACCTGTCCCATGGCTGAGGAAGGAAGAACAAGCTGATCCTGCCTGGGGCAGGTGAATGCTGTCACCCTCTGCAGCAGCATGGCTGAGGCTCCTTGCCTTCTCACAAACCTGCTCCAAAGCAGCTCAAGCAGGCTCAGAAATCATTGAGGGCAAGAGGAAATAGCAGATGTGGCCATACAGCTGTGCTGCCTTGGCATGTGAGGGTTGGGTGCCCAGTGCTTTAGGAAACATGGACCACAAACCTGCTGGGAGCTAGGGGGTATCATCCCCAAACCACCTCAAGCCTTCCTCAGTGATGCTGAGCTTATGCTCAGAGCTGGGTGGGTGCTCCCTCCTTGAGTGGGTTGCAGCAGCACTGTGCCAAGGGGCTCCAACCACCCAAAATCTGCTGGAGCTGCCTGTGTGTGCCTCCTGGCACATGTGTGTGTGTGTTTCTGTGGCTTTGTGCTGGCAGGGTGGGATCAGCTGCTTGAGTTGACACGGGGAAGTTGGCTCGAGCGGGGTGGAAGAGGGGCAGGCTGATAACGGGGAAGTCGGTTATCTCACAGGAGCCCCAGCAGAGCAGCCAGTCCTCTCCCCACTTCCCTGCTGAGGGAGGAGGGCTGCTCTGGCAGCTCAAGCCAGTGTAGAATCCACAGGGAAAGGAGAGAAAATGCTGCCTTTTTGCTGACAGGATGTCCTCCTCTTACTCCACCAGAGAACGGGCTCTCTGCAGCCTGTGCAGCTGCTGGGCCAGCCCCAGGCTGTTGGCAGTGTTTAGGCACATCCAGTTGTCCCTCTGACTTGAGGAGAAGTGTGAGGAAGCTGGTCAGCCTGCCTGGCAAGGGAATATTCTCCCTGCCAGGGAAGTCTCTGAGCAGGCACAGCGTGGTGGCAGTGCCCTCCTCTTCCCATGGAAAAGCCAAGCACAGCTCTGGCCTCCTACTCCACTTCTGGGGGAAAAAAGGGCTCAAAAGAGCTGTGAACCATGGGCCAGAGCAGCCTGGGGGTTATTGGATATTTTGGCTGGCAAAAGAGCCAGGTCCTTCTGTGACTGGCTCCAAGCATGCTCATGCTCTTTTGCAGAGCTGCTCAAAAGCTTGGATCTGACATCCAAGCCTGGCCCTTCCCTGTGGCACAGGGATTGCACAGCCTCAGCACTGAAACAAGAGTGGTAAGCTGGGGAAAACCTGAACATCAGGGCTCAGGGGACTGCAGCACAGATGAGAGGAAATGATTTAATGCAGCTGACCACTTGCACTGAGGGAGCAGAGAGCTCTTGCAGCAGGCTGGGGACACAGCCCTGGCTCACACACATCTTCCCTCCTCTGCCACAGTGATTCGGTACAACAGCGACCTGGTGCAGAAGTACCACCCCTGCTTCTGGATCGACGGGCAGTACCTGTGCTGCTCCCAGACAGCCAAGAACGCCATGGGCTGCCAGATTCTGGAGAGCAGGAATGGCAGTAAGACACCAGGCACCCTCCCCCTGCCCTGGGGAGCACTGCACACAGTGCCAGGGGTCTTTTCTCACCTCAGCCCCTCCTCTGTTCCGAAGGTTTAAAAGTCGGGCGGTCGCATCGCAAGACAAAGAAGCCCCTTCCCCCAACTCCTGAGGAGGACCAGGTAAAGGCCAATGCCAGGGTTTGCTTCTCCAGAGTGTTGGAGAAAAGATCTACCTGGAAAAAGCCAAAATGTTCAATGACTGCTCAGAGATGTACAGGCAGGACTCTGTTCTGGGGAGGGAGGTCAAGATGGTGACCTAAGGAAGAAGGAGCTTGAAGCAGGGGATGAAGCCCAAAGGCCTATAGGGAAGTCAAATGATCTCAACCCTAAGGTTTCCCAGAGAGATTAAAGCCCTGATGTAGGCTGGAGGAGTCACAGGTTAAGCCAAAAGGTAAAGAGAAAACACTTACCCTTTCTGTGGAGATGAGGAAAATATTTTGATAAAAAGTCCAGGGAGAGGAAATGGGTGTTCTGGTAGAGATACACATGGGAGCTGAGACAAACACTGCACTGACCTTGCCTGAGACCACTGCCCTCCCAGGCCTGGGAAGGGTCTCACATGGTGTATGTGCCAGCCTGACTGTGTCCCATGCTCTCCCTCTCCCTGTGGGAAGATGGTGATGAAGCCTCTGCCTCCCGAGCCAGCCCCCAGCACAGCAGGGGAGAGGAAGAAGGTGGTGGCCCTCTACAACTATGAGCCAATGAATGCCCAGGACCTGCAGCTGCACAAGGGCGAGGAGTACTTCATCCTGGAGGAGAGCCACCTGCCCTGGTGGAAAGCCCTTGACAAGAATGGGTGAGAGCTCCCACTGCCCATGGCCGTGGTGCTCAGGCACTGGTGGGCAAACACATCCTTGGGCACCCCTTGGGCAAGGACAGGCTGCCTGCCCACCTGTGGGCTGCCCTGGGGAGGAGGGGGAGGAGGCTGAAACCAGCTGTGGTGTCAGCCCTCCCCAGATGGGTTTGCACCAAAGCTTTTGAGCCCATTTCTACTCAGCCTCCTGAGATAGGAATATCTTTTCCCCTTGGCCTCCCCTATCAGAGTGTGACCAGCCCTTTTCTCTGCAGGAGAGAAGGATACATCCCCAGCAACTACGTCACTGAAACCAGAAATTCCCTGGAGATCTTTGAGTAAGAGAGGGCACAGGCACCTGGCGAGTTGCACTTGGTTGGAGACATTTTCCATTTGGTTGTTCCCCTCCACAGCCCGTGAGCCCAGCCTGGCTGGGTCATTCTCCCTCTTCCACATCCTCTGACAGCCTCCAGCCCCTGGCAGCCATCCCTGCCCTGCTCTCTGCACTGCCTGTCCTGGCTAGGCACAGAGGTGGCTGTGGAGATCTCTCTGATGGCTGTGTCCCTGTTCCAGGTGGTACTCCAAGAATATTACTCGGAGCCAAGCAGAGCAGCTGCTGAAACAGGAGGTAAGTGTTGCCTCCCGAGGCTGGGTCTGTTCTCACATTGTGTCCAGCATGGGACCAACCCTAGCTTTTCTGGGAGAGGAGTGTTGCCCCAACAGCCCCAGGAACCTTCCCTATCCCAGTGTGAGCTCCTCCAGGCAGCCACTTCAGGAGATTGCCTCCCATGCAGGGACTGGAAATAGGATTCCTCTGACTCACTGCATCCTTCCCAGCTATGCTGTGATCTTCACTCACTTCAAGTTTTGCCTGTTCAATCACACACAGTCCCCACAAACACCCAGTGCCCTTTCCCATTTCTGTTTTAGGGTAAGGAAGGAGGCTTCATTGTCAGAGATTCCACCAGCAAGACAGGGAAATACACTGTCTCTGTCTATGCCAAGTCCTCTGCGTAAGTGCCTCTAAGAACAGCTTGTTCCTCCCTCAGAGGGCCTCTCCAGACACCCCTCACCCTCTGCCTCTCCTCCCCTTGGCACTGACCTCATGTTCTGCCTCTCCAGAGACCCCCAAGGCACAATCCGCCACTACGTTGTCTGCTGCACCCCCCAGAATCAGTATTACCTGGCAGAAAAACACCTCTTCAACAGCATCCCAGAGCTCATCACCTACCACCAGCACAACTCTGCAGGTCAGTGCTCTGGAGACACGGTGAAGCCAGCAGTGTTTGCTCTGGCACCACGGCATCCCCACCTTCCTGTGCCAAAGGCAGGAGTTGTGTTCCCTGCTGGAATATGGCATTCTCTGCTGCTGTGTTTCAGGGCTCATATCCAGACTGAAGTACCCTGTGTCTCAGCACAAGAAAAGTGCTCCTTCCACAGCTGGCCTTGGCTATGGTAAGCCACAGCCTGGGCTACCTTGCAGTTCCCTGGTTAGAGGGTTTGTTTCTGCTGGCAGCAGCCTTCCCAGGCTGGGATCCTGGCTGTCCCACAGCTCATAGCCTTCCCAGGAACCACTTCCCAACTGCCCTCTGGTGACAGTATTGACCAAAAGACTCCACAAGCTGCCTTGCTCCCATTCCCTGGAGTTACAGGTCTCAGATGTTGTGGATTTTGTGGATGATTTTTCAGGCAGCAAATGCTTGTGAGCTTTTCTTGGGCTTGCTAGATTGGCTGACTGGGAGCACTGTGCAGGGAGGTCACCTGTACCCACATTACACTCACACTCTTGTCCTAGGCTCGTGGGAGATTGACCCCAAGGATCTGACCTTCCTGAAGGAACTGGGGACGGGGCAGTTTGGTGTGGTGAAATATGGGAAATGGAGAGGCCAGTACAACGTTGCCATCAAGATGATCAGGGAGGGCTCCATGTCAGAGGACGAGTTCATTGACGAAGCCAAAGTCATGATGTAAGTGGTGGGCACCACACAGGGCAGCACTGGATGCTCCTTGCCAGAATGGCTGCACTCCTGGGAGTTTTGGAGGGACAGTCTTGGGCAGTCCCATACTCTGCAAAAAGCAACCAAGATCCCACGGATTTTGTGCTGATTCCTTCGTGAGGTTTTCCACTGTCAGCTGGGCCAGAAACACCTTCCCTTCCCAAACTCTCTTTATTCACTTCCTTTGCTCCCTGGCTTTCTAGATGCTCAGAATTGCCTTTGTCCCCAACACAGGAACCTGTCTCACGAGAAGCTGGTGCAGCTCTATGGGGTCTGTACTAAGCAGCGTCCCATCTTCATCATCACTGAGTACATGGCCAATGGCTGCCTCCTGAACTTCCTGAGGGAAACACGGCAGCGCTTCCAGCCCGCCCAGCTGCTGGAGATGTGCAAGGATGTCTGTGAAGCTATGGAGTACCTGGAATCCAAGCAGTTCCTGCACAGAGACCTGGTAGGGCTCTGGCTGCTTTGTTCAGGCAAAATCCCACTGGGGAAATTGCCCCTACATAGATAAATAGGATGCTTGGAGGCCTCAGTTGCTCTCTGCTGAGGGCTCTCCAGCTTGCCCCAGTCCAGGTGAACTTGCAGGACAAAGTGAGGTGAAGTATTTGGTGGGTGGGATGAGATGAAGTTCACCTGCTACAGGGGGATGGGAGAGACAAGAGCAGGTAGAAGTAACTGCCTCCACCTCTGCATTCACAGGCTGCTCGAAACTGTCTGGTGAATGACCAAGGAATTGTGAAAGTGTCAGATTTTGGTCTTTCCAGGTCTGGTAGATGTGTCTGTGTCACTTTCCTGTCTCAGTACTCCATCTCCTCCTTCCATCAATTCTACACTTTAGTCTTTGTCCCCGCCACCCTCCAGCTCTGCTTTACCATTGTCTTCCCATTTAATCTGATTGGCTCAACCTTCTGCCTCTCCACTTTCCACCATCCCTTTCTTACTTTCCCTGGCCCTTTCCTCCCTCTCTCTGTATCTTCTTTCCCACCCCCAAATCTCCTGGTTGCAGCTTTCTCTCCACATCCCCTTTTTGCTGTGCTTCCATGTCAGCAAATCTCTTCTGCAATCCTGGCTAACACGCACATACTGCTGAAACCTGTGCAGAGCTGCAGCCTCTGGTCATTCTGAGCTGCCCATTCCTTTTGAGTTTGCTCAGTTGTGTGGAGGAGGGAAATGTGAAATCCAGATGAGGCACCCTGATCCATTTTCCTGCTGCAGGTACGTGCTGGATGATGAGTACACGAGCTCCATGGGGTCCAAGTTCCCAGTGCGGTGGTCTCCTCCTGAAGTGCTGCTGTACAGCAAGTTCAGCAGCAAGTCTGACGTCTGGTCCTTTGGTAAGGGCACAGCATTGCTGGTTTGGAGGTTATGAACTCCTCTGCAAACCAGGTGCAGGCACAGGTGCTCCAATGCCATGAGCTCTCCGTGCTGTTCCCCCCAACAGGCGTCCTGATGTGGGAAGTTTATTCCCTGGGAAAGATGCCTTACGAGAGGTTTAACAACAGTGAGACAACCGAGCACGTCATCCAAGGCCTGCGCCTGTACCGGCCGCAGGCGGCCTCGGAGCGGGTCTACGCCATCATGTACAGCTGCTGGCACGAGGTGAGTGGGTCTGTGCCATCATGTACAGCTGCTGGCACGAGGTGAGTGCCTTCCACCCCTGGTGATGCCTCCAGCCACCCTGGCGGGGTGACAGCATCCCCAGGGCATGGCTGGGGCAGACACGGGCTCCAGCCAGGCTCCCCTCTCGCCCCACAGAAGCCTGAGGAGCGCCCCACCTTCACTGTGCTGCTGAGCAGCATCCTGGACATGGCTGACGAGGAGTGCTGACCACGGGCACTGCCCCTGACCCTGCCCAGCGCTGCCACTGCCCCGTGGGACGCCCCGCACACCGGCTGGCACAGTCCTCATGGACAGGGGCGTGCAGGAGCCTGGGGGACCCACACAGCTGCACCCACAGCTCCATCACATGCTCAGAGCTTCAGCACATCCCTGAAGCTCAATCCCATGCTCAGAACTCCATCACATCCCCAGAACTCCGTCAGCACCTTGGAGCTCCATCACATTCTCAGAGCTTCAGCACATCCCTGGAGCTCCATCATGTGCTCAAAACTCCATCACCCCCCTGGAGCTCCATCAGCGCCTTGGAGCTTCATCACGTGCTCAGAGCTCCATCACCACTCCAGAATTCCATGACATCCCCAGAACTCCATCAGCGCCTTGGCGCTCCATCACATGCTCAGAGCTCCATTGCATCCCTGGAGCTCCATCACCGCCCCGGACCATTCCCTCTCCGGTCGGTCCCGGACAATAAAACGGTTCCAAGGCCTCCCCGTTGCGGCCGCTCCGCCCCGCCGGCAGGGGGCGCGCGGCGGCCGGGCGCGCAGGCGCGGGCGGAAGGGGCGGGCGCGGCACCGGCGGCACGTGAAGGTCGCGGCGCGGCGGCACCGGGAGGGACCGGGGGCACACCGGGAGCGCCATGGACCCGCCGTCCGCCGCCGGGCTGGGCGGGGCCGACCCCCAGCTCCAGCGCTTCATCGAGGTGGAGACGCAGAAGCAGCGCTTCCAGCAGCTGGTGCACCAGATGACCGAGCTCTGCTGGGTACGGGCGGCGGGCAGGGCCGGCGGCTCCGGTGACCCGGTGGCGATGGTGGGGCGAGGCGGGCTGGGAGGCCGCGCAGACCTTTGTCCCCGGGGGGAGGAGGCCGATGGGGACAAAATGGAGCCGCCGTGGGAGCAGCCCCAGCTCCGGTGAGCACAGAGCGGGAGGGGGCGGCTCTCCGGGGCGGGCAGAGCCACGCGTGGGGAGCGGCCGAGCTGTGCTGAGGGTCCCGAGGGGATCGGGGTCCCGAGGGCGGGAGATGGCCGGAGGCACGGCCCCGGTCGAGCTGCGGTACCAACGGGACCCCGCTGTATGCAGGAGAAGTGCATGGACAAGCCGGGCCCCAAGCTGGACAGCCGGGCCGAGACGTGCTTCGTGAACTGCGTGGAGCGCTTCATCGACACGAGCCAGTTCATCCTGAACCGGCTGGAGCAGACGCAGAAATCCAAGTCGGCCTTCTCGGAGAGCCTGTCCGACTGAGCCGGACCCAGCCCCGCCAGGCCAGGCCCTCGCCCATGCCCACTCCTGGTCACTCCGCTGCCCCAGGGAGCCAGGATCAGCTCGGGGGGTAGGATTTGATTAAATGCCAGTCTCGGGGAAGTCGCAGCCAGATGAGAGCCCACAACAGACACACGGACGCCGCACGTCGGGGTGATGTGCTGCTCCCGGCCCTGCGGGCCAGCGGCCACCTTTGTGCCGGGACCCGGGAGGTTTGGAACGTGCCCCTGGGCTGAGCAGAGGGCGCTGATGCTCGTTTCACGGATGCTCCCAGCGCCGATGGGAAGCTTGGCTCTGGGTGAGGCCAGCCCGCCTTAAACAGTGCTGCACAAAGCAGCTCTCCTGGGCACATCCTCACCCGCCCCGGGCTCCATGGCTGGGACAGGCACCCTGAGCAAGAAGAGCGTGTTGGGAACAGTGATCATCCCAGGCAGTGCCACTGCTGGAAAATCCTTCCAGGCTTCCATAGGTGAATCGTTCATATGGCCAAGTGACCAATTTTCACACTCTGCAGCACAACTCTGTCGATGCTGACTTGCTCCATTAACTGCTTTCCCTGGGTAAATGTAATAAATATTAACTGGGTCAATTTTTAATATGAGATTCTCCTTTTTTCAGGTAGATCACTACTAAGAATGGAAAATCTGGCCTTCTTGTCACTCCCCCTCCTTCCCAGTTACCCTATTTATGGCAAAATTAGTAGGAAGGAGACATAACTGTCTTTTGGCTAGAAGGCCTTTTCTGAATTCTGATATGTTGCTCAATGAATCTGGTCTCATGAATCAGATTTGTTTCTGGGAGAGGCTGTGGCCTTTCCTCTTCCTCCCCAAAAGGTTAACAGCTCCTGCTGTCCTGGAGAGTAGTTTCTTTAGAGAGACTAAATGCAGGAATAACTAACCAGCTGCTTTATAGCCTCGTGCACCTTCACCTCTGGAGGTCACTGGCAGGAGGCCTGTGGGTGTGTTTTCTGGACCTCTGCCCCCAGGACACAAAGAGGAGCTTCAAACTGGAAAAATAACCAATTACTGCTCAGCTCTCTGGGAAGGCAGCAGCATTTCAGCAGTGCTCATATGCTGCAGGGTTCTGGGAAGCCTGGAGTGACCCTGACAGTGGTCTGGAGCTCTACACAGAAGCCTGGTAAAGCAGTCCTGCACACAACCCACTGCAGGGCTGCTGGACAGAGCGTGTGAGCTCCCAGTGTGGGTGGCTTGTAGCCAGCAGCCTTCCTGGGAACAAACTCAGGATGTGTTTAGCAGCTATGCAGATGTAAACCCATGTCAGTGAGGACACAGCTATCTAGTTATCTGTCAGAAACTTACCTCAGTAGCTAGGGACCAGGTTCCCAGAGTAGGTCATTGCCTCTCCTGTCCTAACTTGAGTTTCTCTGGAGCACTCACAGAGTTCTTCTACCCCTGTGATCCTCCATGCCTTCCAGTGTTCACCCAGCTCTTGGTGTAAATGCATCACTCAGCACTTGGAAACTGAACAGATCAGTTTTTAATAGAACACAGGAAGCTTCATCAACCTGCACAGCAGACTTTGCACGAAGAGGTTGGTCCCTCTGTAAGAGCCACAGCAGCATGTGGCAGCACCACTGAAGTTTCCCCGTTTGGGCTGTATTCTGTTTTTGGATGTGAATCTGTAAATAAATTCTAGCAGAGTGAGCAAAACCAAGTACTTGACAGAGGAATTTTTGCATTAATACTCTCTGAATGTCACCTTTAAAGCCAGACATCCATCTTCTCACTGTTCAACCTTAGCACCATGTTAGATCATTCTGTAACTGTTAATTCTGGGTTTAAAAAACAGTGTGAGCCTCCCCAGATGTGTGACCTGCCACAGAGTCAGGGTTAGCACTGTGTTAGTGCTGCAGGCCTCTCTGCACAGCTGAGCTCCGAGTCCTGATGAGGGAAAATTAATTCTTCATATAAAAGAAGAGTGAAGAAGCACAGGATGCCAGGAATGGGGCAGTTCCCAGGGCTCCTGTCTGTTCCACAGGAGGCTGCTGGCCCTGTCAGGCTGGTGGTGCCTGGACTGGCAGAGGGTAACTCACAGCTCCTGCAGCAGCACGTTCAGCCTTTGTCAGGGAGAGCAAGAAAACAGCAGTTCACATGCTTCCTCACCTGCTTTCACTTCTCCTCTTCCTCCTCCTCTGCACTCTGAGAGCCCTTGTCCTCCGAGGGCAGCAGGGGCTGGTGCTGACAGCTCTGATGTCTGTCTGCAGTGCTCCAGGGAGGGTGTGGGTCTGCCCTGGCTGGCTGCAGGAAGAGGGGCAGGAGGCTGGGGGTGAGGGGCAGGTCCCTGAAGGCGTGCAGGAGGAAGATGCCCGACACGATGGTGAGGAAGCCGCTGATGGAGCCAATGATGTTGTCCAGCACCAGGTGCTGCCACTCCTTGAAGAGGATGGCTGAGCACGTCATGACTGCTGTGGTGAACAGCACGTAGTAAATGGGTGTGACCACAGAGGTGCTGAAAATGTCCAGGGCTTTGTTCAGATAGTTGATCTGGATACTGATGCAGATCACCAGACACACCAGGAGCACCCAGCCCAGGGGTTCCTTCAGGACTGGCTTCCCAGAGAACAATTCCTTGAGGGCAATCCCCAGGCCTTTGACACAGGATACAGACAGCGAGCCGATGGCAGAGCAGACCAAAACATAAACCAGGACATTGCTCTGTCCATAACGGGGTCCAGCCACAAAAATGAGCAGAAGGGAGCTCACCATGACACACACAGCAAATACAATGAATCCTTGGGGAAAGAAGAATTCAAGAATTCCCATCAGAACACAGCAGCACCAGTCACAGATATGACTGAACAGCAAGGAGAGATGGAGACATCTCTACTGCCCCATCAGCCTTTCTGGCCTCCATCTGAGGGGAACAGGGTTGGAAAGCCTGAGCAAAAGCTGCAGAGACAACAACAGCTCATGACAGTGTGATCACAAGCCAGGCTGTTGGGGATACAGTCTGCTGGGAGTGGCAGGGGCACTGCCAGGCTCCACAGCACTAACAGAACTGGGGGACTTGTGACCAGTCCAGCAGGAGGCCCAGGAAGGTGACAGAAGACTTGGGAAGCCGTGGCTGAACTCTGTAGACTGGTGGGATAAAAAGGAAAGTGCCACATCACCGGAATGCCCTGCCAGTGCTCCCCCTAATGAGCAGCAACATCTGCCTGTTACTCTGCTTTGCTCCTCTCCTTATGCTACCTTCCTCCTTCTCTTTTGGCTTATTCTGCCATTTGTGCTATTGCCTACATCATATCCTTGCAACTTGATTCATCCTCTGAGATAAATACAAGGACTACCTGATCTTGGGCACAACTCCTTGAATTCTTTTGCCTTGAGTTCTTTTGCCTGAATTTCCTCCTCTGTCTTCTCTCAGCCACACCACTACCACCCTTATGTACAGGAATTCCTTCTGCAGTTCCTGGCACTGCCACAGGCCAATCCCTTCTGCTGACAGCTGCACCTCATTTCTCTGCTCCTCACTTTTTGCATTATGCATCACAGACAGTAAAAAAACCAGCCCACTTGCTAACTAGTAATGATTCCAGTGGGGTGTGCAGAACAAGAAACAGCTCAATTACCATTTAGTTCAGTTTTTTCCAATCTCTCCAAGTTGTATCCCACCTTCTACTGTCATCAGCCTGAAGTCAACAGAAATCCTTTTATTTTAGTACCTGGATCTTTCAGCTTCTCTGCCATGGACTCCAGGCTAGAAACCTCTTCTTCCTGTGGAGCATGGATCACCATGACGGTGGAGCCCAGGATACTCAGGATGCAGCCAATCTTCCCATGAACATTCAGCTGCTCATTCAGGAAGATGGAAGAGAGAACTGCACTGAAAAAGCAAAAAAAAAAAAAAAAGCAAAAAAAAGGCAAAAATCAAATCCTAAACCAGTCAGGACAAGAAATGGATACCTGAGGGCTGGTAGGTGAAGTAAGGCTGTTTCTGAGGCTGCTTACCTAACAAGGACACTCAGAGCACCCAGTGGAGTTACCAGTGTTGCAGGGGCAAAGGCATAGGCGGCGAAATTTGCAGCTTCTCCAATTCCCACTGCAAGAGAAACTCCTGTAAGCATCAAAGTGGGAGCAATTCAGCATAATACAAGCTTGAGTGTAGTCAGAAAAGCCTCAGCTTCCTCCTGAGCATGCTGTTTCTCTAAAGTATGCTGAGCAAGCAGGGAAGAACAGCACCAGCACCTTCTCTTGGGAAGAGAAGGCTCAGTGTTATGCACAGTGATCCTTAGTCACATGTGCCTCTACAGTGA